TTATCCTTACTAATATGGATGCAGAAGGGTTTTGAATGTTGGATTAACTTCATATCTACAGACAAAGTTTATCTTTTTTCTTTAACCTTCCTACTAAAGCAACATACTCATCTGCAAAAAAAAAACCAACAAAAAAACCACCCCAAACAGTGTATGATAAGAAAGTAAGACTCCCTGTATCTGAGAAGTTTTTTGTGTATGTTGGCTGTTTTGACTTACGGGTTTTCTTAAAATACTAAGTCATTTACTATTTTAACTCCCTTCTAACACCATTGAAAATGAGCTGAAGGTAAAACTTCATGTGCTTTTCCAGCAGCAATGTGTAGCTGCAAGGCAGGGCAATCTGCAGGAATTATACATCATTTTCCCAGTAAAATTGCATCTGAAATATCTGGGGGATATTTTTGTTGTTGTTAAAATGGTTCTATTGATACTGTTCACAGTTGAGTTGTGGAACCATGTAGATATGCCTTTAATTTATTTTTAAATGATCGTATATTCTGGAGATTATAATCTGAAGGGTGGCTGCCATAGAAATGTGCCAGTCACCATGGCATCTGAACATCATGAAAAGAAATTCTGGGCTGCACAAAGACAATGCCACCAATTAGTATTTCACACTGATCAAAGGTGGGGGACCAAAAAGTTTGCCAATAAATGTAGCTCAGTGGATGGCACTAAAAAATAGTGTCTGCTTTACACAAATTTAAAGATTTCAGTTCTCCTATCGATATCATGTGAATTTATGAATAAAGCATTAACACAGACTTCATTTACCATGCTATTTTCAGTTGCATGAGGAGTATGGCTATAGGCTTTTATTTCACTGCCCTAGTAAAGAAGCAGTTTATAGTTCTGCTTTACATGAATGTTTAGAACTGTTTCCTCCTTACACAATTTTTTAACTTATAAACTGAAACTAAGTTAGTTAATGAAGAAAAGGAGTTTTCTGGTGTTGATTGGTAAATATTCCTAGTCTCTCAAACTTTCTCAGTCTGCTCTCTTAATACTATTGTAATTATCAAACAAACCTAAAGTTAAGTATTTATTTAAAAGCAAGTTTATTTTATCTTAAATAATTGAGTGTGGCTTGTTGTTTGAAAGAGGACGACTTTGGCATGAATTCTAAATCCAGTTATGATCTTAACTCAAGCAGTTTATTTAATCAAACATGACTCTAATAACTCTTACACGGTCCCCTACCCGAGCAGTCCTGTCTGTAAAAACTAGTTTATTCTGCGACGAGTTGCTCAACAGATGTCATTCTGGTAGAATAATGCCCCAGAATACTTGTGCGTTGGCTAAAATTACTTCATCTTTGATCACTTTTGTCCAGCACATCAGTCTGGCATTGTGCTTTATACCAACATAACACTTTACCCCGAGCATGCCTTTCAAGCTTAAAATAGCAGAGGAATGTTATTGAATTCAGTGCAGTTACAGATGAGTTAATGAAAGAAGGGAAATAGTGTTTTTTTCATAATGCCTTTCTGTTGTACTTTGGAATTAAAAGGGAATTTGAGGAATGTGACTTCTGAGTTATTTATTTTTACTTCTGAAGGCTTTTTGAAAACAATATTATGTAGCTGTATTGATCCCATGTTTCTGTAAACGAATTTCACCTTTTCTTTTGAAATAGCTTGTTTTAGAGTTTTGTATTGTGAAAATAAGATTTTTTTGGCTATGTAATTGGAGAATAGTTTTCTCACAGGGGCAGTGTATCCTGGTATTTAATGCAAGAAAACTAAAATTGCAAGAACCGTGTTCTTGTGATCACAGATCAGCATTGTTACATTTTGATGGGCTGTTGTGGGGTCAGTATGGAGTAATGACATCTCTTTACCTTGATACTACTGTGAAACGAATACTGCACAGCAGGCTACCTTCTTGTTAAGAAGCAGTGAAGAAAGGCTGTTTGTTTTGAACAGTAGGAATGAGATCATATACCAAGTTCTATAGAGTTCAGTCTTCCATAATTCAGTTTTTCACAGGTGCGTGTGTTTATACATGTGGGCATATATAAAAGAATATACCATAAATATGTGTATTTGAAATTAATACAAATAAGTCTTTAATAATTGAGATGTATTTGTTAAAGCATGACAACATGCTTAAATATCAGGAAGCACTAGTATGAAGTCCACTTTAATTGCTAGTAAATAATTCAGTATTTGGCATCTAAAACAAAACAGTGTTCTTGTTTTACTTAATTAAAATACAGTTGTGGTATTTTTTTTTTAATTGAAACCTAGTTATTAGATCAGTCTCCCTGCAAAACACCTAAACAAAACCAATATTAACGTAAAGGTTACCAGGTGTACATGTAATTTACCAATTTTACAGAGAAAGGTGAGATATCTTAATGATTCTAAACCATACAGTGAATGTAAAGCTGAGCTGAAAATGCAACCCATATATCTGTTATGATACGAAAATGTCCAGATAAGGAGCCCACATGGGCTGACTTCCATCCTTTAGTGAGATGTAGAGTCAGAGTTGAAATGTGTCTTGCTGTTGGGCAGTAAGTTGAAGCCATCACTTTCCACTCATCTGTGCAGAATATTTGTATCTGTAAAGCTGGAATTGATAGTATTGAAATTACTGTCTGCATAGCCTAGGTAACACTAGTAGTTCATATTCCCTTGCCAATATATTACATCTGTCCAGAAATGTGAAGCAGTTCTTCACTGTTTTTACTAATGGGCACTATATTATTATGAAAGAATGATACTATTACTACAGGTAATGAGACTGAGTAACAGTGCTTGTATTTCCAGTTCTCCAATCCTCCATTCAGTAATAATACTGTACTGTGTTTGGTCTCTATATTCCCTGAATTTTCTCAGTAGTATTTATTTCTTGGCAAACTCATGCAGCAGTGCCATGAAGAGTCTTTTGAAGAATGTTGCCCAAATCAACACTTATAAGCAAGTGTATGTGTGGAGATCCCTGCCCCCTCCCTCGCCCCTCCCCGGCATATTTACAGTGATTGGAACAGTTGTTTTACCACTTAATGTCTGCACATGTATCTCTCACCCACGTATTAATGTGCTTGAACGATGTGCAAAATTTGAAAGAAAGGGTCCCTACAGCATTGCTCTCTAAAGAGGATCCAGGGACAAAGAGTTTTGGTGCTCTTTCATTATGCAAACACATACTTAGATTAATATCTACTGCCAGATGTTGCATATACATTCTGTACTAAAAATAAATGCCAAAGTTTGAGGGAACATATGGACTTTCCCTATGTTTATATTGCCATATTACCTTATTGTGTATTCAAACCTCAGCTGTGCTGTGCTGAAGCTATGGCAAGTACTGATTAATAGGTAGGGTCAAATTATACGAAATATCTGTGTAGTGGATCACTTTGTTTCATTGCATTATCTCTCTAAGAATGGTAGTTTAGAATTACCTTTCATTCATTCACTGAATAGGAAACCTTTAAATATATGGATTGTGCTAGTATTGCTCATTTTGACAAATATCAGATTTCTTCACGGTGTTGTTCGGTTTTTTTAACCATTTTTCTGTTCAGAGAAAGTTGTTAAGGCAAGTACGCTAAACTGCAAGCAAGTGCTAGCGCAAACACCTTTTCTGCTGACAACTGCTTACACTTTTTTTCAGTTCACAGTATTAGTAGTACGCTTAGCAGAACTTAGAAAACAATTGTTGGTTCTTTCCAGTTGACAAGTGAACAAATGAAAAGCTAAAGAAGGCATCAGGTTTGGAAATAGTCTTGGCATTTGGTTTAAGTCCAATCTTCCTCCTCTCCCTGAATATCTTCTGGTTTAATGTGTCGGACACTTGTGTCCGGTTATTGTGTCCGTTAGCGCTAAACTGTACAGCCCTCTTAGAGGTGGGAACAGGACGCAGAACTTCTGACTTCCTCAGGTGTTTTGCCTAGTGAATGGTCATATCAAATCCTAGTAAAATGTGTCAAACCTTACTTTTTTCTATTTGAGGATATTTTTCTGCATGTAATATATGTGGATGAGGTCTGTACTTGGACTCTAAAACAGACCCATGAAGATAGGGGAGGACCTTGTATTCCCATGTAGCAGTTTTATGGAAGACAAACCAAAACCCAACACTGCTTGCTGTAAGCATTTTGTTGTTGGCAGGTCTGGTCCAACTGGGCAATATTTACATGTGCTCGTTGCCTGTGATGTCTTTACAGTCAAATATGACATTATTCAGAATTTGAGATACCACTCTCTATCCCAAGTTCAAAAATACATCTTTTGTAGTTTAAATAATTGCTTATCACAAAACCTGTGATAAAACCTGCCGATTTTTTTAACCTGTGCTAATGTTTTTATGGAAAGGGTTTTCTAGCTTGTATTTTAGACTATTCTTTCTGACTTGTATTTTCATAGCATGAGAAAAATGTTGATGTAAGAACTAGTTTATTTGCATTTTGTTAATATATGTTTGAAATGTGTTGTCTTCATTGGAAATGTGCTTATTAATTCCTATTTTCATGTTTAATATACTCACTTTTATTTTTAGATCCCATTTCAGAAACTTGCAAAACTAGTTGTGTTTCTTACTTCATTAGATGGATCATGAACCTAAAATTTTCAGGTGAAACAGAATAAATCAACTTGCAAACCTCCTAACAGAATTTTTGTTATTACCCTGTGCATCCCCTCAGTTTGTTCATTACTGTGGAATACTTTTTACTGTGAAAACTTGTATGATGAATAGTTTCACACATGTATAATATTTCAGTAGTAATGAATCATTATGAATGATATGATACAGATTTTTTTTTCTTTAATATGGTTTGTTCAGTTGCTTTTGGAAGCGGTGAAATTCAGCAGTACTGTATGTAAAGCTCTAGAACACATCTGGATCTTTCAGCGTTGGAGGAACCTGTTTTACTTTAATTGCAAAAAATAAGAAGTTTGGGATTATGGTGACAATAATACAGTTTGCCTGTGTGCTTTTGTTAGTACAAGTTCTGATTTTTATTTTTATTGTTTTAATTTTACCAGGTAAAGCGGAATGTGTATGACCTAACTAGTATCCCAGTCCGTCACCAGTTATGGGAAGGCTGGCCTCCTTCGGCCACAGACGACTCAGTAAGTAGTTTTGGTTCTCATTTGTATTTCTTCCTGCAAATTGCTGATTTTGCTTGCATTTTTGTTCAGAATCACCCACTAGCTTTTATCGTCCCATATGCATTAACCTATCATCACATAATAATCCATAACACATAATCATAATTCAGAGCTTTGTCTTGAAAGGTACAAATACTCAAGTGTTGGTTTACTGAAGCACATTTCCATGGAAATTACTTGTGTATCAAATTCAGTGCATGTTTTAGACTAGGAGGAGCAAAGCTGCGCAACATTTTGGAAGGTGAGGAGTTCTATTGCAGTGATTGAACTATAGGAGAAAGTCCTGGGTTTTGCATGTATTCCGAGTTGTGTCCATCACCTCACTGGTATTCTCAAGCCTGTGTCTGGCTTTAAGTAGATGTTCCTGCTGAAAAGCTTCACATGCTTTTAAAGTTATCCATCTTCATTCTTGCTGGGCCAATAAGAATATGTGGGTATTTGCAAGGTTACATTTAGAAGGAGTAAATCATATGTATGTAGTGCAATACATAGTACATTTTCAAATGTATTTAGCAGGTTTTAGAATTACCATTATTTAGAAATTGAAGGAAATCTGAGCTGAGATCAATGTGTACCCTTGGTAACAGAATGAGCTGACTCTGAATTTCCTACAAATTCATGAAACTGAGGGACTTCACTGCAGAATTCCATTTAAAATTAGACTTGCTTCATTGCATGGTTGTCACTATAGTGTATTTTACAGCATGTCTTCCACTTTTGCTCAGACAATTTTCTTCTGGTAGCATGTTCCCAATGCCAGCTAGTCAGGTCTGCCTTTATTTAAAAGAAAATAAGCCTAAAAGGCTGAAATAATTATGTAGTTATGTGGTATATTTGTGACCTGAGAAAAATGTCGAAAAAAGAAATATTTCTATTTTTATAAAACCATTTATTTAAACTAGAAGTTGAACTTGAGTATTCTACAAAGTGAAAATGGAATTGGGATTTGCTTCCTCTGTGTATTATCATTATCTTTGATGCATTACTTTCCTGTCCGTTTCTACTCTGCTTTCTGTAAAAGAAGAATTGTTGTTTGTATGATAAGACTGCTGCTTTTTTGCTCTGGGTAAAGGATTCATGCCAATTTAAAAAAGCAAAAGAAAACCAAACCAAACAAAAAAATCCCCACCAACCCACAGCAACCAAAGCCTGTCTGAATCCCTAATATACTTGTAAAATATGTCTCTGGCAGTGTTTGCAGAAACAGTAGTTATGTTTGAGAGGTGGGTAAATCTATGTCCATGTATTCAGGAGCATATCTGAGAGGATAGATGCCAGCTCTGAAATAACAGCATGGTGTCATGTGGTAATTACATTCTTTGAAATGTGGATCCATTTTAACGTTTTATTAGTTTACATTAGTCCAAAAAAGAATTGGAAACTCAACACTTCTAATCTGTTTTCCCACAGCTGTTAGGTTTTCCTGCATTTCCCGCCCCCACCTTTCTTTTGAATAGGATACCTCACATATGTAAAACTCATAAATCTGTTTTAAGTCTGTTTTTACAAGTGACATTGTTGCAGGTGAATTTTTGCCCTTTTAATCTTTAATGAAATTGGTGAATGTTGAGTCATCTGCTCCAAAGCAGGAGAGTCCTCAAAGCTCACTGCTTGAGTCTGGTGCAGCTGAGACTTGTCAGCTGTGTAAACAGATTTGAATGTGTTACCAACAAAAATATAATTAATTTCTGTCTAAAATTAGAGTCCATAGCTTACTATTGATAAAGATTTAATGTTAGCAATTACTGTCTATGGTTCTGTGATCTGAACATTTTTTCCTTTGCAAAGTAGAAATACTCAGTAATATCTGCTTTAGTAGTACAGTCATGATGCCTTTAGTTCAGAGGCAAATTTTTGATACTGCTTTTTCTCTTGCGAGTTTTTAGTTTGCTGTGTTGTGTAGTACTCCGTTGCAATTAAAGAGTTAAAAAGTATTTTAATCAAGTCTTTTTTTTCATTTACATGTTATGCAGCATAAGAAATACTTTGTAATACCACAGGAGGTTTTTTCAGTGCAGTTCTCGTTAACCTTTGGCTTAGCAAACAGGACAACTAAATAGACTTGGCATAATTGGATTCCTGTATCATCTTGAGTCTCTTATGAACCTGACAGACTACAGTCTTCTGACATTATCAGGAAATTTAGTGGAGTCAATAGTCATTTAAAACATTGTTGCTTCATCTCCCTTCAGAGTTAAGATATGTTCTCTGCTTGTACTATCTAATGAAATATGGGATACTGTATGAATTGTCAATAACTCTTTCAGATCCTTTTGCACACTTTCACCAGGGAGATGGGTATCAAAACCTCCACACGCAGGAGAATGTTTTCATGCTGTGACAGTTTGATTGTGGGAAACAAGGCATACGTAGCCTGTGGAAATCTTGTTTCGCCATTCGGCAAGGACATAGTTTTAGCTTTTATTATGCCTGACTAATTTTAATGCCACAAATTCTATCTGTTCAGCTCATTAAAGTTCAAACAAAGTAAATGTTTGAGTCTTGAATCATTCTTATTTTAACAAGCTTACTTAAGTAAAACTTTGATTATATTAAAGGCTTCATTTATCTGGTTTGGGTTATATATCATCAACTGATGTATGAAGTCTTGAAAATCATCTTAGAAAATTAAAAAATAATTAGGATTTGATTTAAATAGATTCACAGCTTGTTCTTTATTTTTATTTTGGATATTGTAACAACCTTAACATTACTGAGCTTGTAAAATGCAAATGAAGACAGAATAATTTACTAAAATTTCTGAAATGTGTTCCTTTTCTCTTTGCTATATTGGCTGAAGTTCTGGACTTCCACCGATAATTACTGTTATTGCCAGGTGCAAAGAGCAACCTTCAAATATGTATGCATGAAAGAAAAATAACCAAAAAACCCCCTCCACCAACTGAGATCAGTCATAGTTGGCATTTTAGTTAGTTTTTTACATGGAAACATTGAGATTTTAATTATATAAGAACAGATGACTTTTTCCATATTACCTTTACACATATATATTTGAGGTAAAACTTTTTTCCCCCTTGAGGTCTCTCGGTTTTGATTTATTTTGGCAGGACGAGTTTTTGTCCCTGATGTTTCTGTTCATTTTGTCAGCATAGAACAGCAACAGCCGGTATGGGAAGGAGGAGAGAGGTGGTTTCATGCTGCTTTTGTTTTCTGTATTTAAACTAAACTTTTTTCTTAATTAGTTCATTATTTTAAGTCATTTTAGTGTAGCGATGCAAAATGCCTGCTTCTTCATAAGTAATGACAATGAGCTTGTCAAAACAGAATATATTTCTGCATGAAAAAGATCTAAAACTTTTAGAATGCATTTTAGAGGGGTAAAGGGGAGAGGGACAAAGACAGAGGATGAAGCGCCCAGTGTTGTAACTGCCCTCGCAGGCAGGTCCCGTGCAGAGGAACTCAACATCCGTCCTTCCACCTACTGCCCATAACGCTTTGTTTCCCTAAACAGTACGGTTAGTCAAGACCACATCTTCTCATTTCAAGGCACCTAACTGTACTTCATTGTATAGATAAGCCATTGGGTATTAGTTTAGGCAGAAGTAGGTCTATACTGAGCAGTTATTCGGCTGCACTGCCGAAGAGTCACATTTCAGATGCGACACGTGTGTAACCCCTAACATGCTGAGGTTCTGGGTCATCCCTTGTGAACATGAGCTTCTTCAGTTCTGTGATGGCTGTAGCAGATGTGGTTGATGTTCCTTAGCTGAATTTAATAAAGATTTCTAGGTTATAATCAAAATTCTCAAATGCGTATGTATGATGTGATTAGCACTGCTGTTATATTTAGCGATTTCATTGCTAAGTACTAAGCGCAGTCCGTCTGCACAGATAGAAATTAAGAATGCCGATAAATAGTGTTCTGGTGGAAAGTCAAACCATTTATGACAATTTTTGGCAGATCTCCCGATTTTTGAAGAGGTTGAGTATTAAGCATCTGAGTAATTAGTACTTGGGAGTATATATTTCTTTCCCTTTCTAGGTCCTACAAAGTTCATTACTGCATGATGCCATTGTTACATGAAAACGACTTGTGAGTTTTACATACACTGGCTGTTTAATCATAATGGATGCCTTGTCTGCATTTACTGGATCATTTGCAATTTCCCCCCTAGAATTGATATGACTAAAGAATGAATTGTCCTGGCAGAGAAAGTATTAATCAGAAGCGTAAAATTTAGATTCAAATACATAGATCATTAGAAACTATTCAACTGGGGTTTTTTCTGTGTAAGAATATTGTAATTGTAATGTGGATTGTCTGTAATCTTTATTCCTTTTTATGTTACTTTTCTTTGTGGTTTTCATTAATTGTTGGCAGTAGAGTAGTAGAGTGGATCTGACAGGATCCCTTTAATTTAGATAGTTAAAATACTTGCAGGCTGTTTCGTTATGTGAGTTTGGGAATATGGTAGTGTTTCAGTTTAACACTTACACTGTAAGCCCAATTTAGTAGCTAAAATGGTTAGCACCCAGCCTTGGAAGATCATGGTAACCTATGAAGCAGCACATTCATCATCATTAAGAAATAGAAAAGTAACTGAGTAATTTAATAAACAGTTCCTAAATGTCTTTAGGGAATCTTCTGACTTTGACTTATGGCTTGCATGGATGTTTTCACATGGATGAAAGTTTGAATTACCATGTTCTTTCCCCAGAATAAACAAGGAGGTTACAGTTGTTCCTTTTTTTAGCTCACCCTCTAGTCTATTTTCTTTTTACAAAAATTAAGATAAAGTGATTAGAATTAATTTTATGTAAAAATTACCATGTCGGAGAGAATCAGTTTATGTTTGTACTTTTTTTTTGTCACAAGAGAATTTATTTAGAATTGTCCAATTGCAAAACAAAATAACTCAATTGAAGTGATCTACACTTAACATGTTGCTTTTGGGAAGGGTTTATTTCCATCTTGTAAGTCTTATGGACGTGCAAGAAGT